TCTTTGCCCGGTCCGGGTCAAAATGGAAATAAGTTGAGGTAAATTATGGTTTGCTTTTATTGCAATTTGACTTCGTCTTATTTGTTTAGGATAAGTAAAATAGTCAAGAAGATGATGTTATCTCTGTCTTACATGCAAGGGAATGAGGGTAGGAGGGTTGGTAGGGACCTAGATGCATATGCCAAGTGGTCCATATTTTATAGGGTAGAGAAGAAAGGTAGGTGGAAGGTGGTGTAAATTTCGCTTTAGATTTGCGCTATTAATGATAGAAAAAGTATAAATTTTGCATTAGGCAGCAAATCGTGATTACAGACGAGTAGATGATTTGACGGAGTAAATGTGGCAACGTTTTGTGTGATTGACCAATTTTCTGTTAAAGCGATTTTCTCATCATTTGATCATCATAGATAAGTTTTGAGAAATGCTGTGGAATTGTGAATGCTGCAGGCTTGGCTCGTTTGGTAAAATGTTGCATCCATACCTGAAGAAAATAATTCTATAATAGTGCATTCTCTGTAGTAAAATAAAATATATATAGAGGGAGAGAGAGAAGTAAATACAAGAGAGTCAAGACACCTCCACCAACCCGTGGACAACCAAAGGGTTCAAAACCACCGGGCGAAACCCAACTAAAAATCTATACAACCATAAATAAAGAAGGGTCCAACCAACTAAAAAGCTCATGCTCGACCGAAAAAACTGCACTAGGTCTAGCAAAATGTGTTTTTTGCATCCTAGTTTAGTGGTCTTAGGCCATGTTTTGGAGTGTTTATGTTAAAAATAAGTGCTTATTTGAATAAGCACTTATTTGCATTTGGTGCCTAATTTTTTTCAATTACATATTTTAAAAAATAAGTAGTTATTTTATATTGGGCGTTTGGTAGTACTTTTTTCTAATAAGTACTTAAATAAGCATTTGTAACTATTTTTTCCTTCATTTTCTTTCAAAATTTTAAAATATGTCTTTATGAAAGTATTTTCTTTTTTAAATTAAAAACACTTTTATAAAAGTAATTTTATGAAAAGTACTTTTACACAAAAACACTTTTATAAAAGTACTTTTATGAAAGAACTTTAAAAAAGTACTTTTATGAAAACACTTTAATAAAATCATTTTTATCAAAGTACTTTTACAAAACCAATTTTATAAAATTCAACTAGGGATAATTTTATAAGTGATATTTTCAAATTCAGCTAGGGATAATTTTGAAAGAAAAAAATTGAATAAGTGATTATTGTATAAGCACTTAAAAAAACCTAGAAATTTGGGTTTAAAAAATAAGTTCTTACTTTTAAAATAAACACTTATTTTAGGCTTATTTCTCAAACACCAATAAGTATTTAACGATGTAATCCCAGCTCAAATAAGCACTTATTTCAAATAGGCACTTATTTTTAAGCATTCCCAAACATGGCCTCATAGTACAAATTTTTACACCACAAGCGTGTAATATATAGGCTTACAATAGTTTTGTAACATTGGTAAGGAAAATTGTGTTTTTGCACCAAGCAACTACTGTCAAAACAAAAAATGTTTTTTTGGTAATAGTATGAGAATTTGGTCTTATGAAGACATAAAAATAGAAAAAATGAATTGGGTTCTGAGGCACAAATTGTTAGAAAAGTTTCTACACTTCACTTGAGAAAAAAATAACTTAAGGAGCACTACAACCAGTCAGACGCCCCAATAAAGAACAGAACTGCAAACCATGCAACTAACAGACACCAAAGACCTCTGATCCTCCCTTTGATAATAATGATACATGAAAATCATAAAGCAGATGAAATAATAGTAACAGTACCATGCATAAGGCCGTAAACTTATGATATTCTCCTAGCTATATGTCTAACAGTCTAAGAATGATATCTCCTCAGATCACAGACATCTTTATTATTTTTCTTTGGTACAATCAGATCCTGATTGTATGGTTTCACCATGCCTTACCCTTCTTGGATGGTTTACATCCTGTTCCTAGGGAAAGGGACCCCTATCCACCTCACCCCCCTTAGCCCAGAACTACCTATAGCTATAGGGTTGCAAATAACAAACTAAAGTAGTAATTGACTAATGGCAAAGAGAGTAGGACTCTAATATATTAATTTGATATCTAAAGTCAGGAGATTCAAAATGAGATCTCTCGGTATTGTCATATACTGTTATATAGCTAGGAAAGTTAGATTGGAAATCTATATTTCAATTAATGATGAGGAGGATTTAATTTACACTCTTAGTAGTGATGAAACCTTTATGCCATTCGAATGGAGATTTTTTCTGTTTGGCAAGGTGGCCTGTAGGTTTCCTATGCTATGGTTCAACCAGTTATATTAAGCCTTTCAATGAGTGGTCTTCTAAGTGAAATGCTACTTATTCATCAGGGATTAGTCTTTAAAAATAAGAAAATGAAATCTAGTATGCCAAGGTTATATTTGGTTCAGCTGGAAAAAAAAATGTCAGAGTTTCTATATCTTAATTTTAAGGAAATTTTCTCAACACTATGAATTACAATCAAGATCATACGAAATATATATATATATATATGGAAAATATAGGGAAAAAGGAATGCTAACACAAGCCTTTTGGGTAATTGATAGCAAGGTCATCTATGTTAATACACATATATATACATATATATATATATGTATATACATATCTATCTATATACATATACATACATTTCATGTCTAAAGTTATAGTTGGTGGAGTAGAGGGAGAAAGAAACACTACCTTTTGGGTAACCACTACATTTTTGTGTAACCAGACAGCAACAATAAGACTTATTGGTAATTTCATTTCCATGTTTCACTTTTTGAGGGTGGATAATGAAAACAAGGATTTATAGAAGGTCCCACGTGTGTAGAAGGTGTATGCATTGTAATACTCAGAAAGGAATTGGAATCTAGAAATAATTGTTACTTGTTAGGTATGGGAGATTACTTACCGTCTGTATGGTTTTTTATATTTTACACTATTTCTAAATTCTTTTTATCTAGTTATCTAATTATTATCTGTGGAATATATATATGAAGTTCTATATTCCTAATAAAATAATTTTGATGATATAATCAATTACTCCATGAATTGCACAGAGGGCCCTGATTGAGAGAACTGGTGAATGTGGCATGTGATTCCATATTAGATCTATTTCTGGTATTAGTACATCGAAACCCTAAGACAAAGTACAACACATATAAAATTCCAATTTATAATTACATACTTGGAATTAATCATATTCAATTAGCCCTTAATTCTGTATTAAAACCTCTAACTATATTTTCTCTAGGTACATAATCCTATACCAGTCCATCAAACCTGATTGCAATTCTTGGGAAAAAGTGAATGTATGTACAGTGCAAATACATACAAAATACAAGGCTTTGCACTCTCACTCTTTCCAAACTGATGTTCCTTAATGTAAATTTCTGAATTCTATAAAGTTTTGCTACTTCTAAAAATATTTTCTGCTTATGCATGATCTACATTAAGAGGTGACCCCCTTTATTACTATTGAAATTTGAAACCAATGTCCTCTATGTCCTAGACCGAGACAACCTTGAAATAATTCCTCACTTTGTTTTGTATTTACAACTCAGTTTGGAAGGCGTACAAATACAAATATGTAAGAGTGCAAGACCTGGTATTTTGTATTATCTATTTGTATTGTATATATTTGTATTTATACTCTTTCCAAACTGAGCCGCACAGGACATAAGAATGGTTTGCGTGCAAAAACTATGGAAGTTATAACCACTCTAGAGAATAGTGGGGTTGGTGGTTGCATTAGAGATGAGAATGGGAATCTAATATTTGCGTTGAGTCATGGGTAAGACCAACCACTAAGCTGGTAGCAGAAACTACAACCCTCCTCGATGGTCTGATAAATACTAGCTAGAGACCCACAGCTAGTACTTGTCAGTTGTTACCATGGGAAAAGAGTAGATCGACACTTTCTTGGTGGTAGATGAAATTATGGGCTTACTTTTGCAGTATGTTTGAACTTTGGGTGTAGTATGAGTTTCAGGTATGCAACAAGCTTGCAATTGCCCTTGTCTGCTGATTGAGAGCAAATTTGCAAGCTAGCGCTCTCTTTGCTTATAGTGCAATTTCAATTGCACTAGTATAAATGCATCAGAGTGCAAATGAAAAAAATAAAAAACCTGTTTTAAGTTACTAATAAGGCACATCCACCATGGATGTTCTAAAGGTTACTACTTATCACTCATTAAAGTGGAAGTTGTTGGGGATCATTATATTCCATGCATTATTCATTTATTATTAAAATATTAAAGATAGTTTTTATGATGGTCCTCTGTTGGGTAAACCTTCTTTAGACCAGAACGTTGGCTTTAAACGGGAGGAAATCTTGAGCAAGGTTGATGGTGACAAATGGGAGTTGGTTGGTGGTGAACTAATCGCATTTTCAAAGGGAGCATTTGTCTCCTTTCAAGAAAACTTTGGGAGGATTATTCGTTTGCTATTTCTAATTGTGTTGATTTTTGTTAGCCCTAGAAGTTAGAATATGTATGTGCAGCACTGAGAATATTGTTTAATTTCACACACACTCACTGACTCACACCAACTGTTTATTAATATATTCTATTGAATTTTTGTAAGTCATTTTATATTTCAATGTCTTGCAAAACTGAGCTTATATTCTGTCGCAGTAGGCATGCCATCTCAGAGCTTCTTTCCAACTTGAAAATATAAACATGACGATCAGATAATACAATTATTATTACTAGCTAGCAGAGAAGGAATTGATGAAGGGAAGGGAAAATGAATATTATATATATTTAGTCTATCTTTTTCTGGGATTTTCAAGAAAGATTAGACAAATAAACCTTTGATTTTCTTCACCTTTCTTACATTAATGTGTGAAAACTAAAAAAAAGGTTAATTATTTTTCGTTTTACTCCTTTACCATAGAAACTATATAATTAAATCATCTTTCGACAAGGTCAGAAATAATAAGATGAAGAAGAAGAAGAAAAAGGATGACCATGGAATTCAATAAAATTTAAAAGAATTCTCTGGTACCCGGTGTAGATGTATCCTGAGGCTCTGGTCCCAGCCGAAGCTCTAGGTCCAAACCCTCTTCAGCCGAGCAATAGGTTGACTGCATCCTCCTTTCTTCATGCCCAGCACCACAACTACCTGAACGTCGATCTCCACTACTGCCTGAAGGCATCTCAACAAACAAAGACAGCTGACGGAGTTCTCCCACACGGATTTCCTCTCTCTCAACATCTTCTCTGCTGCCAACGACACATGCCCAATTAAGACTGCTCTTTCTGTCATCTCTAGACTCCAACTCCGGTAATTCATACTCTGTAGAGACCGCAGCAGGATGGGAAGGATTCTTCTGGCTGATATCCAACGAAAGTTGGCTGCTACTACTACTAGAAGGCTGTTTGAGCTTTGCCCTATCTTTCCTATGAATGTTCATGTGGCCCCCTAGTGCCTGTGCATTAGAGAACCCTCTCTTGCAGAAAGTGCACCCGTAGGACCTCGCCTGATGGCTCTGGCCCTGCTCATCCGACGACGTCCCTGAAACCTGGTCTAAATTCTCAGAGCTAGGAGGATCGGTTTCCATTTCAAGCAACGATTTGCATGAAGCAGAGAGAGAGAGAGAGAGAGACAAAGAGGGCAAGTAGGGATAGTCAACAAGTCGGTGGTGGTGTGGGGAGGATGTTTCTGTTGAGCGTTAATTCCATTGGGAAATAGCCTATTGGCCTGCTCTTATCTATTCCTTCTAGATCAATGACATGGTTACAGCACCAAATTACAAAACTCTCCTCCCACAGAGAGAGAGAAAAAAGAGAATAAAATTCTAACTTGTTTATGTCGGTAGATGCAGAAGAAATAATACATAACAAGTTTAGGTATATATGAATTATTTAGGGATGAAATAATACAAGATATATAGAACTAAATGTTTGGTTAGTAATTCGATCAATGGATTCATGACCTCATGACTGATGTTGAGCCGTTCAATGAGTTATATATATATATATATACATATATATAGCACAGAGAGCGAGCACCGTTCAATGAGTTTCCAGGAAGAGACTTGTGCCCCAAAGATTGAGCCGACAAACCCAGTATTATAATTCTGCAAGCCCAAATTCTCTTATAATCTTGCCATACAGAAGAGACTAACATATTTTGTATTGAGAGACTTCTCTCTCTCTCAGTTTTTTTCTTTTATTTGTTTAATTAAAGTGTATTGTTATCGGTTAGTATAAAAATGGAAAGCTTAACTTCCTTGTCTTTCCCTGTTTTTAGTTCCATAAGTTTATAATTCATTGACTGTTGCACAATGTTCGGTTCTTGTACCCTTGTCGAGTCGTGTCGACTGTCGAGGGTAGGTTCGTCATGTTGGGTTCTAAATTATGCTTTTTTAACTGTAGAAGTTGACCTAATCAAATTATGAAACGTTAATTCAAACGGCTTTATCCCTGCGTCGTTATCCGGAGATCGTGAACCGGGTTTTTTTAATTAAATTAATTAATTGATTTTGGCCGTCCGCTTAGTATCGGCGGTCCATTTGCTTCATCTGTTTTCTCACTTTCTTAGACGTTTCGTTTGGTTTGGACTTTGGAGGGTGCTTGCTGCTTGGTCATAAAAGTCTAGGATATTTCGGTCATTCATGAAGGTGGGTCCTTTGGTAATTGTATGTGCCCTCTGTCGGTGTTGCCACCTGGCAACAATGAGAAATGCGATGGGATGTTTTTAATTAGTTATCATTTAATGCTTTGATTTTTGCTGATTAAATATTAATTAATCGCTTTAATTTGCTTAATCCTTATCATCGTCCTCACCATCAATCATAGTCACAAGCTCACAATGAGGAAAATGAGAGTAGAAAACTGTTGGTTTGAGAAATGACGTGGCCTAATATAAGAAAGCGTGCGGTGTCCTTCCACGTAATCGTGTTTGTTAATACTTGACACTTCGTTGGGCACGAAAAAAAATTCGCTCTTTTCATGAAGAAACTAGGTTCTTCCGCCTTTTGACGGTGGATGATATGGCCACGCCTTCATACTCTAAAAACTTAAACGTTGGATGTGATGACGTTTGGTGTTTTCAATCTACACTATTTTGAGTTGAAATGCTGTTAATACTTGAATAAATACAAACACATGATATGTATGGTTGTATGTATTGATACTATAGCATTTGAGAAATGACTGTCACTGTCGAACAGTACCCCTAAAAATAAAAAATTGATATGTATATATATTGTACAAGTAATACAAGCCTATATAATTTTATGACCATGGTCTTTTGATCAGAAGATCCGAACTCCCATTTCCATCCCCAAACTGCCCCTAACTGGAGCAAAGGTAGGAATTGTTCCCAAGTCTCCGATTAATACAACCAGCCAAAGACTTTTATCGAGGTAGCTATTTGACACCTTACATTATATGGTAAAGATGTAATGGGATTTATTTTTTACCATCTGTAATTCGAATTTTCTGAAAATTCACACCTAGCTATTGGCCATGTTGGCACTCAATGTAAAGCCGTAAAGGTGTAAAACGGCCATGTTGGGTTGGCACAGCACGACCCTTACGAAGTGTAGGCCGGGTCGTGCCTCCCTCCCTTGTGATATTTTGGGGGATCGGCTTAGCATGGCTCGTAGTCCGAGCCTATGCGTTAGAACCAGCCGGTAGGTCAGGCCAAAGTTATTTATTTAAAAATATTGAAAAAAATTTAAAATTTTTATTTTATATGAATTTTGATGTATATAAATATTTATATATACAATAATTAAATAAAATAATATAATAAAATTGAAAATAATTGTTTATTTTATTAATATATTATATATTATAATCGTACCACGGGCCGGGCTGTTCTAGCCTATGGGCCACGGGCGGCATGACCCACGGACTTGAAACCCCAAGCCTGGCACAACCCATACAATCGTGTCAGGTGGCGGCATGAACGTGGTCATCAGGTCAGGTTAGGCTGTGGGCGACATGGCCCAATTTACACCTCTAACTCCACATCAATTGGAAACTCATCATCATTCACCATCCATTGGTCCATAATAATCATATTAATAAATAATCACTTCCAATAGTAGGAAATATAGTATGTGTTTGGAACCGTGGATGTTTATTGACTAAATATTTAGTACTTGATTTGTTTGGAAAACTAAAAAAGAACAATAATGAACCTGTTTATTGACACTTAGGTGTCATTAGACACCACATCAGCAAAATAGTGAATAAATATCTACCCATTTGGAGAAGTGCTAAAATGAAGCTTCTCTCAACGGTAGGCACAAACGGAAATACTCTAATCAGTAGTTGGTAATATGGGATGATGGTTTCAGAACTAAAATGCCCGTGGGCTGTATTAAAACTTGACCCACAAAATGTTAAAAAATGGGTTGAGTAGAGACTAGAGAGCTTGGCTCCATTTGGAAGAAGTACAAATACAAATCTGTAGAGTTTAAAATTTTGTGTTATATTATTTTTTATGTATTTGTACTGTAATATTTATATTTGTACTCCTTCCAAAGTGATCCTTTATTTAGGTCGTTTGCTCAATATTATCAGATTTGGACATAATCAAATGAGTCTGAAAGCTTATGGGTCATGATGGTGTGCGATCTGAAAGCTCCTAGTTGGAAAGTTACTTGGATGCTGGTCGTTTCGCAAGCTGGCTCGAACTGTAAGAAAGTGGATCAGAGAACCCAAAGTGGCTAACTCAGCGAGGTTGCTCTGATGCTTAAGTTAGTACTGTATTTTGGTAGTGAGCTGAAAGCTTGAATGCATGTAGCTAGTGAGCAAGTAATCACGTGTGTATCTTGTGTCACTGAGGTAGATGCCCTTATATAGACGTTGTTTGGCGTGGGCTTCACGCATCGTGTTCGAGGTCTCCGGGAAGACGTGCCTAACCGGCCTGATGTCCTTGGAGGTAGCCATGCACATAGACCAGTCTTCACACCTTGTTCGGTTTTCTCTGGAACATTTGGTACGGGGGCTAACTTCCGAGAAACCTGGGAGTATCGGGATATGCATGCCGAATTGGTTGGTGAGCACATCTCACAGGTCGCCACCTGGGCCTCAATCAGATCGGCAAACCCTCAAGGGGGGTCTCTCCTCATCAAGGTCACTTCGATTGTATTGACGAGGTGCCACAGGTCGGCCTTGGATGAGGTGCTACAAGCCGCTCAGAGTTGTGGACGAGGTCATCAACTAGGTTTTCACCAGGTCGACGGTGGTGGTAGGTCGCCTGGTCGGACTCCATCTCTTTGGATAAGGCAAGTCATCGCCTAGGTGTCATCCAACTGTTCTAAGATGCCATGTGTCATGATGTCACTGGAGTGCCAAATCCGCCCTCATCAATTGCCCCCCACTCCCAAGCTGATCCCAGCTCGATGAAGGGAGTAGCTTGTTTCTTTGGCTCGGGGTGACTAATTTGATGAGCTTGTAGCCGTTGGTCCAGTTTGCTACCTTGGTTGGAAGAGTCGAAGTGTTGAATGCAGCACTACGCAGGACCTCGCCATCTTGATCATCGGAGCACGAGAGTGAATTCATTTGTTCGAGGAAAGGTGGAGTAGGTACCCCGAGGACATCTACCTTATTTGGGATGCAACCGTCAAGGAGTTCTGCAATCCGGCCAAGTAACTCAAGAGCAAAGCTCATCATGCCGTCTTCAAGAGGGGGTTCTAACTGCATGACTACCTCATCAGGTCACTCCACCTGGGTAGGCTACAATCCAATGTCCGTCGAGCTAGTTCTCGAAAGAGTAGCCAACATGGTTGTTGTGGAGCCTGAAACCGAGGTGGAGGTCAGTTGTGAAGAGATCGGCCAAGTTTGCATCTACCACAGTGCTGAAAGTGAACTAGTCATTCATTCATTTCTTTTTCTCTCCCTTTTTATTTTCTCTTTTTTTTTTTCAGGTCGGCAATGAGATGTCGACGTCCTTTGAGGTTGATTAAGTATAGCAACTGCAACCAGGACACTGTCGAGCTAGATAGATGGGGGGCCAACCTACTAGATCAGTCTTCATGTTGTCGATGTGCTTCGAGGTCACCTTGAGGGGGCCTTCGCTAAAAAGTGGTATGGCTTTCCCTTAGAACTCAATTTGATTAGGTTGCCAGAGCAGATAGTCATTCTGTAGTAGTTTTAAATATGGCTGCTTCTATGTCATCACTTGAGATTGGCTTCCCCGGGTAAGTGCTTGCAAGATCATGGTGTACATGTACCACCTTCTCTTGGAACCGCTAGCTGCCCACTCCTACTAGAGTCATGGGAGGCTCACCTTGAGGGGTTGGCTCTACTGTCTGTGGGTCGACCTATGAGGCCAGTTCCATATTCAGTTGGCTTCCAACTCTCAGGGGATCCATGAAGAGCTTGATCAGTAGTGAGGCTTTGTAGTTCAGGCTGGAGGCAGTTTGGGCCAGATCGTTGAGGCTCGCCTGGGTTGATTGTTCATTTCTGTTCTGCTTGTGAGCTTCGTTGATACGTACATTACTCTCGACGTCGGATGATAGGGCGACACTGCAGCTGCATTGCATTAACCCTTGGAGACACTAGTTGTCTACTCCTACGAGAAGCCCCAGGGAGTTCGTCCTGCGGGGGCAACTTTACTAACTGTAGGTCACCAACTCGCACGAGAGCCTTGAAAGGCTCAACCAGCAAGGGCGTTTGCATAGTCCATAGGCCGCTAACTCCTAC